CTCTTTAGTAAAAGACCAAGTCTGAATAACAAGTAACTTTCTTGTAAATGTCTGTCTGATCCTAGGTAAATTCTTACTTCCTTTGGTTCTGTTTTATTCTAATTAAAGCAGAGTAATACTGATCTTCTTGAAAATTCTTGGAGATAAGCAGATCAAAGTTCAATATAAAAGCAGAGGCTCCTGTATGAGAGCAGGGTACTGTCTGTTAGGATTTCTGTAAATAGTTCTTGCTGGCAGAGGTGGTAGAACAAAACACAGGTGTTCTTTGACATACAAAGCACTGAGGGCAGTCATAGCTGGGTTTTGTAAAGATAGTTCATGAGGCTTCTAAAATGAAGTATAATGGTGTGAAACACCAAATCATTCTGTGTCTGTTTAACAGCAGTAACTGTAATTTCTTGTTTCCTAGATGCCTGGGTATCTACACTGATACACTGAACATCTTCATTCGGGTGGCCACCATGCTTGCAGGTGGTGGAAGTGGCAGGAAAAAGTAAACAGAGACTCAACTTTGCAACTGTCTGACAGCCTACCTAGTGCACATATTAAATAAACATTCATGATTAAAGCAGTAATGCTCCAAGTGAGAATTTTAAAGCATTTCAGCATATTGGTTCAGTGCAATGTGATTCAGTCTTAGTTTTTCTTCAAACACTTTCCAGCTCTGTGTTTAAAATAGTCTGAACTGCTTCTTCTAATTGTACATTATTTTGGGAAAGTAAATTATTTTTAATATATGAATAAAATAGTCCTACCTGCTTTTTAAGGGGTTTGATGGCAGTTCAACTCTTACTTTCTCTTTTTTTTTTTTTTTTTTTTTTAATTGTTGTTGCATAGTAAAGAAAGTAATTTTTGAACTGGTATCCCATAGGCAGATAGGAGTACTTCATGAAGTGCTGCTTAGATGCATCAATTTTCTGTTAAGGTTCATAAATTTTATTTTACTGGCATCTTCGGAAGAACTGAATAAATTGTATATGACCCTAAATGCAATCATGACTTTGACCTGGGCAGAAATATCAGAAAAGGTTAAGCAGGATTTCACAGGTTAGATGACCAAAAAGTGTAAAGGAGACAAGATATGGGAACTATGCAGCATTTATCCCATATGAACTTCAGTCTCCTTCTGGAGTACACATGAGAATTCCTTGCTTTAATGTTGACTGGCTATAATAGCTAGCTTATTTTGATACTAGATTTATAAAACTGTTAAATGGCAATAGAGCTGTGTCTTTCTTCTGGTGGCTGAATTCTTGTCCTGCAGATGAAGGTCTGTCCAGAAGAGCTCCTAGTGGCCATCTCTTGGAAGTTTGTATAATTGGCACAGAAACTGGGAATTCAGGATGTCATGCTGTAAACCCCAGGATCATAAATTGGTCCTACTGTTGTGTGCATTATTAGACTGTTTACTTCTTTTCCAAATTGATCTGTTAAATGTGGTCTAAAAGAAATGTTCCCTAACAGTAAATTGATTTAACAGTAAGAAATTTATACTTTCCATACTCTTTTGCTGTATGTTGGAATAAAAGGGGAGTTCTTGGGCCATGAAAATTTTGACCTAATGTCAGCAGGTCTTATTTTCAGTTTCTGGCAAATATGTTATGTTTATGTATTGACCTATGAACAATAAAATTCTAGCCTCACAAGTTGACTACTCTCACTTTTCCCCATGATAATGGAAATATTTTAGTACCTCTGCACTAACAACTTGGTGAAGAGTACTATAAATATTTTTTGTTACAGTTACAATTTCCTTTGTAAGTGAGTACATATTCCTCTGTAAAAAAATCTGCAAAGATGCTTCTCATTTTCACTGGCTAGCACCTTTTTGGGGGTGTTTCCCAGTTGGAGGATACTGGCTACACTTGAAGTGGTTCTGTTGGTGTAACCTATTGGCCACTTACTGCAGCCAGTGCTACTTTTATGTTTGTCACACACTGTAGTATTTTTTGACTCTTCAAACAGAGGGAAGAAAGCATGGATTTTGAAGAACGTTGTTGCAGCTCCTTTGTGCCCAAAGATTATAAGGCACAATTTAGTTCCTGGCACTATTACAGCTGGAGGGACATCTGTAGTTCTTAAAAGGAAGAAATCTTTGGATCATGTCAGTTGTAAGTAGCCTGTTCAGAGAGTTTTATCTTTTTAAGCAATTTGATACGCTTAATTTCTTCTTTTACTGTAGCCAAAAACAGCACTGTGCTTTTTCTCAAAATCTGAAATGTACAGGAAGCTGTCTTAACATTCTGACATTCATGCTTGTTGCAAAAGAAAACTCAGGCAAAAGAACCTTTTGGTCTAGATTCTGAGGCTGAAGTTTTAGAGCTTGTCTATAACCCAAGGGAGGGATTCTGGTCTGTCTGGAATAGTGAGGTGTAGAAACCAACACACTGCTTACGGGAGGTATTTGCATGAAAATGAGCCCTAGAGGAAATCTAATAACCTTTTGAGAAATAGTGCCTGAAGAAACACGAGCATCACTTGTGCTCAGTCTTGTGGAAAGGTGTGACTTGGCTTCTGTGGATGACATTACAGCACTAGCAGTATTTTCCTAGTGTTTGTCTCCAAAAGAAGAAAAAAAAATTAGTTTTTCCTTTACATTTGAAGTCTTAAGTCAAAAAGTAAGATATACCTTAATTAAGACAGCTCTGATTTGATGGGAGATGGACATCTAAAGCCAGGACTACTGTCAGTGACTCCTGGCAGACCTACTTAGGATCATGAAACTCCGGGGGATTTTTTTGCAGGTCAGGTGTGATTCATCAATGCATAAATTGAATTTGCCTAAAAATTCCCCACCTGTGTGCCAGAGGACATTAAAGACGTAAATACTGTGTTTAGTCCACAATTTAATTAAATTCTGATCTTTTCTACTGATTATAAATGGTTTCTATGGATTTTCATGATGTTTGAAGTAATTCTCCTTTTAAATTATGATCTAAATTATCATTTCTATAATATTTAATAATTTACTTCAATTTAATCAATATTATAAAGCAATTATTTTCCTAAGAAAGTGTTCTTCAGCGTCACCTAGTATAATTAAGGAGGCCAGGTTCAACTGACACGTATTTTAAGTCTGCATAGCACAATGCTACATGAAATTTAGATCTCACCTAATTAAATTATTGAATGTAAGTAGCTTTGCAACTTTCCTCCAGCTTCCCCCACCTCTAATGCTGCTGAAAGCTGTCAGATAAAACCATCATAAAACCTTTATAATAGTTCGCTTGTAACTCAAGCAAATAGGGTGTGCCTGATATCTTTATGTCACTTGAATCGGTCCCAAGACAAAGATTATTCTTCCCTATTACTGCTGTCATTAAAGAATAGAATTTTTTTTTAACTCTTCAACATTTGAAAATAATTTAGGAATACAGCATAATTTTGCTTGAACTTCAGTTTATAGCAAACTTGGAATTTAGAAATTGTTGCCATAAGTTCACTTCAAATTTTGAAATAGAGTATTTAAGTAAGAACTGGATTTTTATTTATTTTATTTTTGTTTCAAATTAGTCATCATGAGAAAGAGAGATGGGGAAAGCAAGACAGGCTCTTGCAACACAGGAAATGATCCATCAGTCTGTGGCAGCCGTGGTGGGGGTGGCTACTCAGACCTTTCACCGGGCACTGCAGGGGCAGCTGCTGCAAAGGCATATGACCTTGTGGCACAAGGTGTGACATGAGTCACTAGCCCAGCATTCACCCACCCCATTTTTCCTAATACCACACAGAGCTGGCAAACACAAACCCAGCATGTCTGACAATGATGGCTTTTAGATCTAACCACCTCTCCTTTGCCAGTGATGAATAGGAGTAGGTCAAGAAAATACCATCTTTGTTAATCCCTTCACTCAGTTCTGACACCATTTGGTGTGTGCCTGCAGACATCATTAAGCTTCTGAACAAATCCTTAGTACTGCTGTAAGGCATTTCTTTTATGAGCTTGTGCGCAGGAGCTAAACCTTCGCTACACTGTAGTCGTGTTTGTTTTTCCTTCTGTCAATGAGCAACTTTGTAATACATTATGTAGTACATAATTACAATTTGTATTCTTGCTAGTGAAGATCGCCAAAAAGAACTACTGAAACTGGTTTTTTAATTATCACAGTTTCGGCTAAAGAAAAAGCATAACATCACATTCTTGTAATGTTGGTCAACAAAAATTAAAGTGGCATAGGGAAGAAAATGAAAAGCTTCTAGCCACTACCAGAGAAAAAAATTAATCTAAATTTTAACTGGAAAGGCCAAGATTAAATGGAACTCCCATGAAAAAGACCAACTTTACATTTTTATAAATTGCATAGTGGTCTGCATATCTATGGAAGTACCAGACTTCTTCCTGGACACTAACTCAGCACCACTGCAATGGTCAGATAGCAGAGGCATGATAATGTACTTGTGTTGAGGTAATGGCCTTGGAGTTACACGTCTTCCTTTACTGCCTGCAAGTGTAAAATCACTTCATCATCCCACCTAGTTTGGACATGAGATGTTGCACATCTACAGACCCTACCAACTCGCCTTATTCCTGACTGTTGGGATGTCCATTCAGAGATGAAGATCTCTTTTTTTCTTCTGAAGCAGTGCAATACATCCTCATCCATCACCATCTTTTCTAAGAAAAATGATGTTACAAGTTAAAAAACCCCAACAAACTGCAAAAGCAAACAGAAATTGCATGCCTTGTAGCACTACATTCCTTAGGGACTTCTGAAGAACTTATAGGAGCAAGAGCCATTGATCAGATTCCTCCTCGTGCCCAAGACAGTGTAAGAAAACAAAATTCCACATGTGTTTTACAAATTATATTTGAGTCCCAAGGGGATGAAAAGAACTACTAGTTAAGCTGAAATGCAAAAATCTCACTCTTCTTATGTCTTATACACAGATGGATTCATACAGAACTTGGGCTCTTAAAAGCTTCAGCAGAGTTCTCCAATCCCATCAAATTTTCACCTGAAAGTAAAGCCATTGCTGCTGAAGTCTTTTCTTCTTTTACTGCTTCCTAGTCACATTACGTAAACTGAGGTGACCATAAATGCTTTGGTGGACAGACTGTGTTCAATGCACTGAAATGCTGCCTGGTAAACTGGATTATGGGATTTTAGCAAGCTGACAGTAAATCAACAATGGAGCATTCTCCTCAAATGTCTCTCTGTCAGAGGTGGCAGGAAGAAAACTTGAAATTCATACCATTTTAGAAATGAAAAGATCTTTAGCCTCTAAATTCCTTAGTTCAAGTTCTGGACTTTATTACCAACTAATTTTGTTTGTATGAAATTATTAGCATATCTACAACATACAGAATAACCAGAAAGAGGTGAGAGTGGCCAAGTAACAGCATCAGGACAAAACACTCTGTTATCTCTGCAACCATCTCCTATCAGATAGCAGAGACAAGGCTTATTCATGGTTTCAAGAAAGAGATTAATATGCAGAACAATCTCAAAATCTTTCCAAAAGCCTAGGGGCTGACATCTGCACAGTATTTTCTATTTTGGAGGCTTGCCAGCTGAAGTAAACATTTATCTATTCAGGAGGAAGAAGAGTGAGATGCCTGCCCAGACATCTGTCATTGTACCACTTCACTTCTTCTTACTAAGTTTTCTGGAATTAAGCATTGGGCAGCTGGACTAGTTACTTTGTACAGAAGACCAGATAGACTTCATATTCTTCTATCATCTTTCTGAAAAACAAAGTGCTGACTGAAACAAGGACACATCCTTTAGAGCTATGGTAAGTGGCAAGAGGGATAATCTTCCCTGCTTGGGTCCCTGTTTTTTCCCTGCTTTGGGGGAAGTAACATGCAGTGGGAACAGATCTGCCTCCTTAATGAGAAGGTTACGCTCCATAATGAGAAGGTTACACAGCTCCTCTCATCACCCCATCATGGAAGTGTGAGCTCCAGCAGATTATCTGTCAAAAACAGTCTCTTCAATCACGTCTTGCCTGAACTCGAAGACTGGGCTACCACAAAGAAATGTTTCCATCACACATAGCACAATGAACACTGCACCTAATGTAAATTTTTCTGGCCTGAACCCTTGCCTCATTTCATTATGCTGTTTAGACGCCTACAGCAACCAGATAAACCACATCGAAGGCTTGAAAAACTAGAGAGAGAACACATGAACTAAGCAGGGAAAAAGGGAAAACATCTGTTTTTTCATGTTTGCCACATTCCCAGCAGGAGGAAAGTTAAAACCAAGCAAAATAAAAACAGCTGCAAGTTCCATTTTAATAGAACTATCTAGAACAGTGACCTGTGAAGAGAATGGAGTGAGCACACAGAGCCTGGACACCCTGAACAGCACACATGAGATTCACAAACACACCAGCTGGCAGCTCTGCAGAGGCTTTACTTGCAGGTGCAGTGTGAGGAGTGGCAGGACACTCATTGAAAAAGCTGTGTCAAAGGTGCTTTAAACCCTGTTCCAGGAGTCTTCAAAGTGTTTATCAGCTCACCATAAACTACTAGGAGAAATTATAACCTCAGTCCTGCTCTTCATTCTGATCTTTGTTAGTTAGTATAGTTAGTATGTCCCACATGTTGTCATTACTGCTTCTCATACCCTGACTGCTACTGCAGCCTTCAGTTTCTACACTATGTTCCCCTCCTTCAAAAACAGACCCACACATGCTCCTGGATAACTATGTTGGTTCCCCATAAGCGGTCTAGGTTGAATTAAATTAACTTTGTATCCTTAAAGTTCTTAATGTTTCCTGCCTTCTCGCAGCTCAAAAGTTAGTTTCATTTAGCTCTAAATTTAACAAGATCATTTGCTCCAACTGTGTTATTCTCCTTATGTCACAAACAGCTGTTTCAACCTGGTTAGAAGAAATTTTCATTTACAAAATGCAGATTCTTCTTAGATTGGCATGACCTTTAAAAAATATTAGTGAATCTTATATTAACAGACCACTTCCAGAAATAATGACTCCATAAAGATTGCAAATTTAAGAGTTTTGGCAAGCACAAAAGGAGACTCTGGATCATGCCTTAATTTAACTTTAGGAATCAAAGTACTTTCTTTAAGACTTTAAGAGACATCCTATGTGGCTTTTGAACACCATTAATGGGAACATAATGCAAATCTCAGGATGCATCCCTTATTTCCCTGGATGATTCAGAAATACCTCTGCACTCAATTTCAACCTTTTTTTCAACTGGAAAGATGTACAGCAGCTGCTGCTCATTTCATAAAATTCATGTCTACAGGAGACTATCATACAGATGCTTCAGACTTCCAGCTGACAGACCCTAAGGACACAGGTTAGCAGAGATTATTTATTAATCTCTGGTTTTATTCCCTCTCCTGTCTCCAGCCACTCCCTTAACGCAATTGTGTCTCATTATTTTGTATAGTCCACAGCCTTATTTGGTAAAAACTTTTATCTCAGGGCAAGTCTAAAGATTATGCTAGGTCATTTCTTCTAGTCTTCCCTTTTCAGTTTGCTTAACATTTCCTGTAATATTAGCATTTATAGACACATATGAAACAGGGCATTAAGAATTACAGGGTTTAACCACAGCAATTATCAACTTTGCAGCCTGAAATTTAAGATAAAAAGCACAGGAATTTCTTCTGAAAGTATTCAGTTTAGGAGGAAAAAAAGTCTTCCTCAGCTATGTTTCTTCTCAGAACTGCTAAGCAAAATATAGTGCATGGACCCCAATACCTATTCAAAAGAATCTCTCAAGGTTTGCAACTAGACCTCTCAATTGGTGAAAATAAACAAATAAATTACAATATCCTCACCCCAAGAAGTTATTTTGATAAATTCATGCAGTATTTTAGTTTTAGAAAGTTTTGGGTTTTCTGTTTGCGTTCCTAGAGCAGCCTGACAGTAAGACAGGACAAACTCCTGAAACAGGTGCTGTCCTTGAAAAAATGGGCACTTGTTCTTGTTCCTATCAAACCCCTCTCTGGGGCTTTTGGGTGTGCAGTGATGACTGTACAGGTGTGCCTCATTTCCCCTCATAGTAGCTGGAAGGCTTGGATTGTTGTAACAGAGACCAAGTAGCAGCCTGCCTCTTCCACGCAGAAAACAAGTGGGGCATTCAGGTAGCACATGCTGTTTCCTTGCTTGGGGTGATTGATTGGTAAAGTCACAGTGCAGTGATGTATACTTAGAAAAACAAGTCTTTGTAAATAACTTGCATTGCCCAATATTATGTTGTAAATATTTCAAAAGAAAGATGGGGGGTTTTGACGTAGTGCTGTTGGCAGCACTTTTTGTTTAAATGAGCAAGTTGGAAATGTCAATAGCCATCACGTGATGAGGTTCTGTTTTGCAAGTCATCTCCCATCTTACCTGGTTACTTTTCTGTATTCACTTTTTATTTCTTATCATGCACACAAAAAGAGAGGGTGATGGTTCTAATTAAGGCTAAAAATACATGAAAAATTATTTGAGCATGTGGTTTAACCCCAGCTGGCAACTGAGCCCCACACAGCCATTCACTCACTTTCCTCGGTACATGAGCTTGTCTGGAACTTTCTCAGAAAGTATAATGGAGATAAAATACTGTAGTCACCAAGTGAAATCCTTGCTTCAGTGCTACCACTACTCAGCCTGATTGAGTGTTGCAAAAAAATTACTCTCCTACCAACCCTTTCTTGTGCCTTATTTACATTTCAGATTTTCTGCAAAGCTTTGTGAGAAGGCTAACCGGCTCCATTTTACATGCTCAATTTATGTTGGGATTTATGTTATTTGATTCAGTCTTAACCAGCAAAATGTTGACTTTAAAAGTACAAAATGAGGACTCACACCTATATGTTTCAATATTCAAAAGAAGCCTGAGATCATAACAACAACATTGTTGTCATTCATCTTTCTCTGCATCAACTGAACTGTAGAAGTCCCTCCTGACTTAGGTGAACTAACGGCCTTACTACAGGCTGAACAAGGTGTGCCAGTGTGAGGCAGGCTTTCATAAAGCACTTTGAAGGTAATTCTATCTTGTAGCTAGTTTTGTTAGTGATTTGATTCCTGAACCTTGGTAATGCCAGCCTTGGCAAACAAGAAAGGCTGACAGGTATTAGCAATCTTCACCATCTATGGATATTGCTAGGTAGGACTGCAGAAATAAGCTTTTGGGGCTAAATTTGGTAGATAAAAGGGCGACCCAATTTGGGAAGCTGCTGGTGAATGCAAGAAACAAGCCAAATCCAAACCTGAAATAGGAAACCTTTAAAACTGGGGCTGGGAGCAATATTTGTGCACCAGAGTGAAGCCTTCTATCCTGCTGTAATTCCAAGTCTGGGTGGCTTGCAGATACTGCTCCCACCTTTTAAGGCTACATGGCTTTTAACTATTCTGTTGTTAGAGACCCAAATCTTACCAGATTAAGCTGGGAGAATTGAATGCTCTCAAACCTGAACTTTTTGCCTTTTTTAAGTGACACAGCTCTATAGTTGATCCCTCCTTGAAGGACTTTTTTTTTTAAAGTACACTCTGTGAACCTTGATACTATGTTGAATTTGATGACTTCTTAATCTTAATTGTTAGCTGGAATCTTTGCAACTTAATCATCCAGATATAACAGAAACTGAGATGTTAATAATAAACTCAGAAATCTGCTGCTTAACCAGCTGTCTTGTTAATTATGGTAACAACAGACTGGCAATTGCTTTGATTAAAACACCCTGGGTTTGGTTTGCCTTTTCAAGCCCCAATCACTGTCCATACAGATTCAGTTCTGCTGTGCTCTCTCCCTTTCCAAGCATGCAGAAGAGCACACCAGGTCCTCTGGAGAGGCTGCTGTGTAGAACAGGACAAGGATTCTGCCTCAGAACATCTCTGTGTACTTTAATCTTCAAGCTCCTGTGTAACTGGTAAGGAACTCTATGTTGCCTCATTCTGAGTAAATTGCTTCTTCAACTAGGAAGTGCTGTTTCTTTTTGTCTGTTGAGGTGCAATACAAAGGCCAACTCTCCACCCATTCTGAATGTAATAGTCCTTTCACTCTGTCTTATAAAAAGCTGAGGTGCTGGAGGAGACAAAGACACACCTTCACCCTCCTCGGAAACATCTCATTGGAAGGATGAAGCTCCTGGCACTTTGTGGCTTTTTGTTTCTCTGTCTTTTGTGCCTCAATGTCTTTGCTGCAGAAGGTACAGTATTATAGTCTAACACAGCTTTCTCTTTTCCTCTCTTTCCTTTTTTTATATAAAATGCTTATTTGCTATGTTGATTTTAATTAAAGGAAACAAACAGAGCTTGACAATGAAAAGGAGGATTGAACTTAGAAAAGGTCTTAGACTGCAGAATGTGGTAGCATATCAGTGCTTTGGTTTGTACAGTAGTGTTTCCTCTGCTATAGCCTGTTGCACAGCATGGTTAACTTTTACCTTAATCTGTATCTGCTCTTCTGAAAATACTTCCTATTATATTTTCCCAGTAGATAACCAAGCATCCACCAATGTAAAAATAGTATCATTTTGTCAGAAGTGGGAAATGTGTTAATGGAAAAAGCTTCTACCCATATGAAATAAGGGAACATGAATCAGTCAGGTTAACAGAGTATATGATAAGTTCTTTATAGAACAGTGAAACTGTTCTTCAGTAATTCTTCTGATCTTCAATCAGTCTAAACTTTGTTTTCCCTTGGTGGTTTTTTTTTTTTTTTTTGGTTGGGTTTTTTTTACCACTGATAATCCACACTTCATCTGCAGTATCTTGAGGCACTTAGTTACCATTTTGCAGTATTCTGAATTCACAGAGCTATTAAATTCCTGAAAACAGAGGATTTTCCATCTGTCTATAGCCACCTCTCTGCAGATGTCATTGTGCATTTGCAGAAGGACAGTTCAGTAGCATTTTTAAATTGAGAGGTGCAATCTAGAGTTACCTGTGCAGACTTGAGGTTTGATATTGTAAATCTCTGAGACTCACCATGATTTTTACAATGTGTATTTTATACAAGATATAGAGAGTAAATGTGAGATAAACAAATAAGCTAAGTGTCCAAAGATCAGGAACAGCAGACTTGCCATGCTTGATATTTTCTAGAAACCTTTTAGGAATTGCTTTATGTGTAAATATGAGCATGGAGAAAGATGTGGAATCTGTTTTTCTAATTGGTTAAGTCAGCTGCCCAGTTTTGTCATTTACTGGTGTCTGTGCTGGTAGAGCTATTTGCCAGAGCAGTGGTAGCTGAAGCCCTTCTGCTCTCTTTGCCTTTTTTGCTTCTTTTTATTCATGTTTTTCCATAACCCTTGAGAAAAACTTTAGGAACAGTGCAAGGGCAGTTGGAGACTTTCTTGAAGTGTCTTCAGGAGCATAAAGGAAGCCTGTGCAGGAAGGACAGGAGATGGCCATATCAATAAAACACAAATAAATACCTGCCATTGCCACAGTAGCGTTTCCTTACTGTTGATGTGCATGGCTCTTTCATGAGTCAGAAGGTGGGGAGGAAACGTGCAAAGGACACTCTTACTTATCTGTAAGCACTGATGTCAAAGTAAAAGTGTCTGGTTGTGCAAGATAAATGCACTTTGCATATTAAACTGTTGCTCTGTTACATCAGAACTAAATTATGAGAACTGTTATGTAACTAAATTATCAGAACTAAACTCAGCTTCCATCACCAGCCTTGGCTGTAAACTGTGCCTCAGTGATTTCCAGAAACATTGACCACATATTAGATTTTGTTGATGAGAAATCATCTGTCTCTGTCCTTTCTGCTCCCCCCCCAGCTCCAGAGTAAACCTTTTTTTTCCCCCTTTATTGTGACCAGCACTGTGGTCAACTGTAGTCAACAGCTCACTTTTTTAGGTTTGGTGGGAGGGAATATTTCAGTGGCTTTGCCCATCCAAAGCAGTTTATTCTACACTCTGGTGCATCTGGACACTGAGATGCTCTTTTTTCCTGTTAGTAATTTTTTCTATTTTCTTAAAGTGGTGTAACTGTAATTGTATTGCCTGCCAGTGTGACATTTGGAAGGATAAAGAAATCTTTACAATGTGTATCTGATGCATCTATGAGTAATGATAGAAAAGAGCAAATAATTTCCTGTTCCACACTAGGGACAAAGCTGTGCAGAGATCTGAAAATCAGTCATGATAATCCTTTGTTTTACAGATCCCTCTACACAAGGATGTCAGTGGTAAATACAGTTATTTGCATTACCTGTCTCCACTGATAATGAATTATTTTTCACCCTTAGGTCAAAGGGTTAGAAGACGCTGCTGTTCAAAAGCATCCACAGTCAACAAAAATCCACATAAAGGTAAAAAGGTTTACAGTTTCATTAGATGAATTAGGTGATCTTCTCTTATGAATCATGAGAGAAATCACAGCACTCTGGTTTTTTTCCATCTGCAAACTTCACATAATTTTCCATGCAGGTAAATATTAGCTTCATTGAATCACTGAGAACTTGTTCTCTTTTTTTTAAGAAACTTACTGAGTGTTTGGATTGGGAAGAAATAAGATTAGAAAAGATTAGAACCCATTTAATGCCCATAGTATAAAACAATCAAGAGAACTGTGCTTAAGTCTGATTAAAGGAGTGTCAGTGTTCCTCATTGATAAGAACAGTTGCAGAAGTGAAATATTATCCTGGCTTTGCCCTGCTGTATTCCATCACCATTCATCTGTGCCTGCATTCATCTTTATGTTTTGAGAGATCAGCCAAAGTGGGGTTCTGTAAATTCCCAAAAATCCTATTTTTGAACCCACAGCTCTACCAGAAACAAGAATTAGCTGAGACTGAATTTGTTCTAAATATGGGCATCTAAAGACCGTGCAAGTAAAAGTACATAATATCTCTGGTTTCAGTGAGACCCCAGTGGAAAAAAAGCCAAACCATGAACAAGTCTAGGATAAAAGGATTAGTATGCTCTTTAGAATCTTAGTATCTTAAATCTTAATGTTTCTAATTTCAATAAAATGTCTAGCTGATAACTTCTGTTAAACTCTAAAGATAAAGAATTAGATCTAAAATACTTTATTTCCTATTTCTAATATTTTAATCATAAAATCACTAATTTGAAGTTCTGAACAAATTCATTCTAGCTGATAAAATATCTTAAATGCTTGATTACTTTTTATATTTAGATAACTTAGATGATCTAAAAATCTTTGTGTTACTCTACAGTTTTCCTTTAACTGGAGTTTTTCCTTCCTGTCCAGTCTCCCAGTGCTGAATCATGGGCTCTGTTTTATGGGCAGAGTCCCATTGGTACCAGGAGCGGTGAACAAATTGCAGAATTATTATGGGTCAGGGGTTTAGAGCTGTCTGGGGCTCCTCATTTAATCAGCAGGTGTAGTAGCAAATGGGGACTTGGGCAATAGCAGGTTCCCAGCTGGCCCACAAGGCCTGGGGGGATGTGCAATGCCAGAGGCACAGAGGTGGCTTCTGTCACTCCTGGCCTGAGCTGGATTGCACTGCTGCTGCCTGCCTGATCCTGTGCCCTTTCCACATTACTGAGACTTCATGTGATCAGCACAGCTCTTACTATTCAATCTGAGTACTTTCTGCTGACAAAATAGGGGGTACTTCAGGCTTTTTTACATGCCATAGACGTGAAAGCTCTCTGCTAAAAGTGCTTGCAAAGAGAATGTTCCTTTGAAAGCAAACTGCTGTTTCCTGGGGATGAGTCCAGTGATGCTGGTCTCACAGAGCAATGAAAGGTATTGTGCTGAGGGGCAGAAAGGAAGCAGGGGCAGGAGGTCTCACAGAGCAATGAAGGGTATTGTGCTGAGGGGCAGAAAGGAGTACAAAGGAAGCACTCCAGTAAAACCTGTAAATTCACCACAAAGATCTCCTACTGAGGGAATCTGAAATGCTTTCCTCTGCTGCAAACACAATAATACTTTATCATCTTTGCTTTATGATCATTACACTCTGCCCTGGTTCTCAGAGCATTCAACATGCTTACTGTAATCATCTCCAGTCCTTAACAGCAGCCAAACCTTTTATTGGTAAGGGATTATTGTTTATTTCCTTCCATATAAGGTACATCTTTCTGCTGCAAATGACTTCCTCAGATCTGCTTGTATCAAAATGCTTGATCTGAATTGGTTTCTACTCTTATTGAGAGGCAGCTGTAAAAGCTTGGGCCTAATGCAGCAACTGCCCAAACCTGAATTGTTCTGCTTTAATGTGTGGTTCTTGACTGGAATTGTACAGTGTTGGCTTTGTTTTGCATTGTTGCTATGAGATTTCTGGGTGACTTGTGCTGTCTTTTTTTAGTGGGATATTACTTGCTGTATAGTCTGCAGGTAAAGCACAGGGACTGTTTTTCAGCCTTGCTCTGCACTGTTCTTTGTGCTGGGCAATTGCCATGGGCAAGCTGCAAAGCCACTTGGAGACCAGCTCAGTGTGGCTTGAGGAGAGGGTTATGTATAACCATACATAACCACACTGGCTACTTCTTTTGAAGCAAAACCACTGATTTCCTAGAAGTTGGAAAGTTTCTGTTGTCATTCCATCAGAAACAATTGCTGTCTCAGAAAGCAAATGCTTTAGTTCTCCTTCTAAAGTCAGTGTATGGCTTCTGACCAGGAAACAGGGAGAATGTGATGATAGTAAGGGGAAGACACTGTTTAATGTGTCTATTACAGAATTCAAACTCTGGAGAGACAGTAGCACCATCCTGTGTCTATGAAGACCTTCACCTGACTATGGAAACTTCCAGCAGCAGCAAACTTGTAGTGATTGAGCACCCTCACTAAAGGGAGAATAGTCTGCTGGGAGTCAGTGACCTCCAGCAACCTAATAAAAAGAAAAAAAAAATTGCCATCACATCCCTGTTTATTTTCAGATCACTGCTAATCTAAGCCTGCCCACACAAACATGGCTAAATTTCAGATATAAAAGTTTTGTGCCATTCTCCACACTCCCAATTAAACAAATCTTTCAATTTTCTCTGTTTTTCATGTTTGTTTTACAGGTACAGGTTTTAAAGTTACTCCAGTGGAAACAAGGAGACTGTGCAGGCCTTGTCATCCGCGAGTCTTTTCTGGACCACTTCCACAGCTAAAATAAGCAGACTGAGAGGAGGGTGAAAAGCATCTGCCTACATGCACAACCAACAGTGCTTCACTATCTTGAAGACCCTCCTTTCACAGACAGGACATGAATGTACATTGCTTTCTGTTTGGGGAAAGGCTTCATTACTGTTAATTCATTCCTTCACTCACTTCAGTCACTTTGCCTAACTCTTTCTGCCAGGTTAATACTATCAAAGGTGCTCACTCAGGCACCTTTGATAGTATTAACCTGGCAGAAAGAGTCAGGCAATGTTGTCTGGCTGCCACCAAACTTTGTGTCAGTGGAATATTCCTCTGCACCAAGCAGGGATTTGGCTCCTCGAGTAAGAGAATGAGGAAAGCTGGTTGAAGAGGTAGCTGAATTGCACTGGTTTGCATTTCTAAATGCCTTTTAGGCATTCTATTGCCTAAAAGGTGGTGAAGGGCTGATGCTTTTGTTTCTAGTTATAAGTATACATGCATATTTAATCTTTTCTTGAATCATTTATTTTAAATTAACAGCGGTGTATGTTTGTATGATCATCAATCATTGATGATTTTTCCTGCAGCCCTTGTACTCAGTGCTAGCAATCCACTTGGAAGTAAATTTCTACAAATGATAAAAGTCTCATCATTTACAAAGGGCTGAGAAACTAGATAAGCAAATTATTAAAATAGTGGTGATGGGCCAGATTCAAGTAAGCTTTTCAATATGTCATCAGAGGGGGCTAAATCTGACTTAAAAATCAAAGTGGCCTGGTTTTAAGTTCCTTAAGAGTGTCATCAGGTGGTTATTGAAGAGCATACTGAAAAGATATTAAACCTAATCAGATTTCATCTGTTCCTCTGAAGCCAGAAGGCAGCTGTTCTTTCAAGACAGCAGAGTTGTGTGATCACCTCAATAAACAAAGCTTACTGGAGCATGAAATAAATGCTAAGAATAATACCAAAGGGCTGAATAACAGAGAAACTGAAAAACCCACTGATACTTTAGCCATGTATCTTCTGTCCTCTCCTAACTGTCCTCTGCATTGCTGCTATTTCTCTGCCTGGGGGAGAGTCCTTAAAACGGAATTACTTGCTTGTTCATAAATTCAGTTCTCCTTCTCGTGAATATGAGGAGGAGTAGAAACCTTTGCTGCTGGGTAAATTGCAGATTGCAAATAGTAATTTTTCTGTCAGTACTCATAGTACTACTCTTTCTCTTAACATAATTGTCAGTATGATAGAAATGGTTTCAGTGCCCTTCACAATTTGGGGGAGTTGAATGGGAACAGTCAGAGGTCTGTTGTAACTCACACAGGCAAATGGAATTCCAAAAGGTCAGGTTTATGGGCACTTGCTCAGGGTCTGCTCTTATTGAGAATGTTTCTATTGTACTGAGCAATTGAACCTATTTCTGGCTCTTCTGTGTGCGTGCTATTACTTTATTTTCATATTGGTTTTGAGAGTAGGTAGATCTGACACTCAGCTTCCTATTTTTGAATGCCTGACCATGCATAGCATTTTTTATATCAAGGATAAAGGAACTGCCAGTTTTCCTTGCAACACCTCTGAATCAGAAGGTTGGTGAAGGAACTGTGTTTCATGTTTGGTTGCTGGTGAGGGGGCCAACATATTTTATCTCTGTTGTTTTGTGGAGCTCGCAGAAAGAATCTGTAGAATGTAAATGACAAATAAATGTAAAAGCCATTTTTGGTATTGTTTGCAGCAGGGTTTTTCTCTGTAAAATATGGCCAGGTGTTTACAGCTCTGTATAGAGCTTCACTAACAGGTTTGAAGATTCTGTTCTCTAATATGAGTTTAAGCCCTTTTCTTTTATATCTGAAAAATGCTCTAAGATTTTCCTCTTTGCCTTACACCCTCCAAACAGCATGCTCCAAACTCTCCAACCCTCCTTCAGGCAAAATGTTCCCTCTGATAAGAAAAGCAGAAGCCCCAGAGACCATTAACACAATTCTTACAGAAATACTCTATGTAGGCACAGAGTTTGTGGTGATTGGGGTGGGGCTGTGGGAGCCTCATCCCCAGTGGGTGCAGCTGTGAGAAGCAGGTGAGCAGCTTTGAGCCATGGAGTGCCCAGGGGCACTGGCCAACCACCAAAGGGAACAGAGGGCACACAGGTGCAGTGATCAACCTTTTATGAGGGGATAAAAGGTTGGGCTAAAGGACAAGAAGGGCAGATGCTTGCAGCCTTCTGAAGAGGAATGGTGTTACTCTGTATGGGCGGATACCTGAAGCTTTCTGCTGTGATAAGGTGTTATGTGTGAATGGGTGAATGCCTAAAGCCTTCTGAAATTGTATGGTGACACTCTGTGTATGGTGGCTGTCTTGACTGCAGCATGTGCTGTGGCATATGCTGTGACAGCTCTGCATCTCTGGGGAGATCCCAGCACGTCATTTAATGCACTTTAGTATTTTTACTCACTAAGTTTCCCAGGCTGGCCTCAGTCCCTCATTGGGGGCTATTCTAGCTAAAGATGTTGTTTGTCTGAAGTCCTAGCCTTCCTTGGCTGAGCAGAATACAGCAGCAACCTCCAAATAATTTCAGCATGGATTGTGACTGCTGCCCAAATGCTTTGTTGCTTCATACAGAGGTATCAGAATGTTGTTTGTCCTCTTGAAAGTAATTCCTCAGCACAGTTTGACTCTTATGTACCAGGCCATTTCCCCATGTGGTACAACAGAGCTACCATCTGATCATGGTTTCACTTACAGGCATCTGTTCTTCCTCTTTATTTTCCTTTCACTTCTACATGTATTTGTCTGGCATTACCAGAAGAGAAACATATTTGCTCAGTGGCTTTTCAAAATACACAAGCTGTATGCTTATATAAAGTAAATTTATCTTGTCCAAACTGACAAATGAATTTTTTGTGTCTTGTGTTTTTGTGTGCAGTCGGCTGTCAAGCAAGAAAATTGCACAGCCCATAAGTTGCGATAAAGATGTTTCTGAAGTGTCTCTATGCCTGACAGAACAGATGTTGAATCCTGGTCTGACCTTGTCAATTAAGTAAGCCAGGTGTCTCCTCACTTTGTTTACAGCTTAATACCACCAGCTAACACCAAATCAGTCTGTTTTATTTGGCACTATGACTGTGAATTGTCAGGAGCACAGAAGAAATGATCTCTCCTGACAGGGACTGTTGGTTTAAAGACAAGTTCTGGGATCTCTTTTTCTAAGTGGGTAGTAGGAGAAATAAAAATATGGTTTTTTATACAAAATGTAATCCCAAAAGGTGAAATGGGGGCTCTTGATGTTGGCTTTTCAGCTCTCTAGACTGGCTCACAACTGATGCAACTGCCCAGGTATCCTCAAAGAATTCAGGATTTTGTCTCTAGAGAAGTTCTGTTTATCTAAAGTGTGGACTACAGGGGCTACTTCTTGTGATCCCATTTGCCAAGGAAAATTGCACTCCTCCATGAACAGTCTCATCTCAAACAATAAACTCAGCTGGAATATAAAAGCAGAAGGATATTTCCTGTGTAGATACAAGGCTAACTCTTGTCAAAACTGAGTAGAAGACTCGTGGTGGCTTCAGTATTCATTGGATCAAGTCTGTTGCCTGATTCTGTTTTGTCCAAAGTTATTGCTAACTAGTTTTAGGAAGATGTTGTCAAATTGTGGAGGCAGGTCAGACGCATGCACACTTTTAACCAATGTTTTTTCTGAGGAGAATTTATCCAAAACTTGTCTCTTTTGTCCCTCTTGTAGACTGGGGGGAAAACCCACTTATACAGTCTTTTTTACTCAGTTGTCATTAGATATAAGCAGTTATCTTTAGCATAGCTAATTGCTCTGCAGGATGAATTTTTTAAATTGCTGTTGGGGAGCAAGGAGTGCTCCCTAATGGCAGGAGCAAGGATGTTGGTTCCAATCCACGTGTGACTGTGGTTCCTATTAGCCTTCAGTATCCAAGACAGCAGCTATTGGATAATCTATGCTTTTGAACACATAACTGTTCCATCATGCTTTGTCTTCTCATCTTAGAGCAGGGCTCTCAGAACAGAAGGAATTCCCAGGAATTATTCCTGTTTTCAGTGTCTCACTAGTGGATCTCTTCTAGAAAAGTTCAGGATATGGATTTGTTCACATTGTCATTCAACCTTTGTGCCAACATCTGTTTGTGTGTTTCAGATGCACTGACTGGGAATATCTTTAAGTGTGAGGGATTTAAGCCCACGTTTCCAGGCTGATGCTCCACAAGGGAGCTAAGGACAGATTTCCTATAGGATAAGCACCTTACAATGCCATCTGGTCTGCTCTGAACACATTATCAGAGAAATCAGGTCACTGTGTGCCTGTGAGCAATCCTCAGGTGAACGTGACTGGTCTGGCTTCTGCAGCCTCACAGCCACAACAACCTCAGCTGATTTGTGGAATAAGGACTTAAAAATTAAAAATTGTCCAGCAGTATGTTTTATTCCAGCAGGAATAATGTTGCAGGTGTGTTTTAGTTTAGCTGGGATGCATGGGGGATATTTCTACCAAAGACAGGTGTACCTGGTCAGACAGATTTCAGGTTTAAATACACATTTATTGATCCCCCAGGCTCACACCTCCCTGCCTGCCCATTCCCTGCCCAGAGTCTTTGGTGGTTGTGGGTGGGCATCTTTGGTGAAGTAATATCATCTTCCTCGATGTTCACTGCTTGGCCCTTTCTTCTGGGCAGAGGCAGTGGAGGTTTGGCTTTCTCTCATGTCAGTTTGTCCTGGCTGAAACCAGGAGCCTGGTTCTTGTTGGCTCCTTAAGCAAAAGGTTCTGCTTTATGGATTTCAACAATACCTGAGTCTTGCTTTAGTAAGTTTTCTTATCTTTATGGCCTTTACCTAGCAACTAAATTTTTATGTGTTCTGTTACAAGTTGTCTCTACCTAGCAGGTTACATTTCTGTAACAAACTGTGTTTGTACTTTTGCAAATTTGTTAAATAGGCTATATATATTTCTGTTTCCTCCACCCACCTAGGTACATTATATGCTTCTAAAATTCTGAATTTCATGTACATATATGTTTCCCATATCACAGTTCTCCCAAGAAGCTCTTGCAGCAGGGCCAGTTTCTGTCAGACACTCAGGCTGTATCTGGGATGTTCCTTTAAGAGTTGATTGCTCCCAGCTGCTCACACAGCACAAGCACTCAGGGCTGATGATTTACACCTGGTCTAGGAGGCATTGGAGCCCCAGCATTCAAAGCTTGCACCACACAAAATGC